GAGCACAATGTTTGTCTGCATCTTGTTGTCACTCAATGAACGGAATTCAAATAAAGTAACGCATCATCGTGTCCTTATCTACAAGGGGGTAGCGTGAGCATAGAAATGATAAAAGTCGAAGGAGCGTCTCATGGTTGTCAAATTCGAAGAGAAAGATAATTCCAACGGCATCCCAGCCGACTGTATTGGGTAGTCAGTTTCATATGGTGATCACTCAGTTTTGTGTTGCGACTAAGTTTCAGGAGGTAGCGGCAAGCGTGACTTGGATTTTACGAGATCTGCTACGCCAGAATGAGGTCGCCCCGTAGAGGGCGATAAATTCCGCTGTACACTCCTAAGGTTTTCAGTAGCATTTGATATGTCAGATGGAACAATCCATATGCGGTCGAAGGCTTTAGAAATGGCGAACTAAATGATATCAGTGCCGATCCCACTGTCGGCTGTTTTGGCCCAACTTGCGCGCAATCAGTAGGTTGGTAGTACTTGATGGATGCTGACTAATTCCTTATTGCTCCGATGCTACAAGGTTAGATCATTATAAACACCCCGTTAGTGCCGCAGCTATGCTGGACTCCATCCCTTTTATGAGTACTAGGAGGAGAATCACTAGGCGATAGTTGGTGGGCTCCAAACGGCTTCCACCCTTTGTAATCGGGGTAATAGTGCACTACTTTTACACGTTCGGAAACTGAAGTGCATCTAGGCATCTTTGAAAGAATCAGATCAATGTTTCAGTTAGCATCACAGCTGCCACCCGCAGTGCTTTCGGTGGAATAGTTTCAACTCCGTGGAAACTATGGCTGCGTAACGATAGCAGCTTCCTCAAGCTGGTTGATGAACTAAAGATGATGTGGAAAATGCTGGCGTCTGGGGGAATGGGACAGGTATGTTACGTACGCTGGTGGCGCGTCTGAATAATGGGGGCATATTGTAGCTGTAAAACGTTGGCTGCACCATCGGCGGATTTAGCACACCCGTTTGCTGAGATGAGTAGGGGAACAGGACGCTTCGCATTCCGGAGGCTGTTCACATGTTTGTACAGGAGCTTGTTGTTAGCACAAGACTCTGCTGGTATATTAGTTTGTCCTCATGGACAAGTATGGTACAGTGATTACGCTGCACTACATAGGTGCATCAGTTATTAGGACTAGGGTTTCCTTTGTACACGCGCCGCGTTGCGTTTATTACCGCCATGCGCTTTCGAGTTCTGCTCCGAATGAATGATGGTGCTCTACTAGAACCAATTGGCCAGTTTACTGATGCGGGTGTGACCACATCACTGAAATTGCCAGCAAACTCAGTCTAGGCACAATCAATTGAACAGTCGTCCGAAAACTCGCAGGTAACATTTCCAACAAGTTCTGGTAGTTTGTCATAGTATGTGATTGTTCCAAAATAGTCAATATGTTCTTGTGGATATTCCGCATAGCACACAGTCGTAAGGTATTGTCACGTGATCACGCGGCCCCAGAGGACTCCCCATTGCTGGTTCATTGATCAAGAGTCCTTCTTCATCATGATTGTCAGCATAGATCATGTACTGCCAGTCTACCGATTGCGCGTAGTGGTGGGACCGAAATAGCCGGCAATGGGATCGGCACTGATTTAATCAACCTCAGCTTTTCAAAAACCCTTCGACATCTTAGATTCCCAAGTCCTTCACCAAAAGTTGTAAACGTACGAAATTAGGCACCCTGTACATGGGTGGATGGGAAATTTATTTCTTCAGCGGCGACTTTACGTTCGGGTTTAAGACATTTGCTGATCATATTCATGTGTTCCACAAGGGTGTGTTGGGGCCGCGCTTATTTTGACCTTCATTACCGAACTTGTCCGTGACGTCGAGTAGAATCTCCTGCTTTTTGCCGATGGCATGAAGATATAGCGGATGATCGGAAGTCAGTGAGATCATGATCTGTTGCAACGAGATCTGGACCGTACATTTGATTTGTCAGAGGCGAATTTGCATCCGTTCAACGAGGGTAAGCACAAACTAACTGTATGCCACAAGCCCACTAGCGTATGGAGACTTGGAGAGCTTATCTTAAAGACCGCTTCACAGGAGTGTGACCTTTAGGTCTTAATGCAAGACGATCTCAGCTGTTCGACTCAGTCTATAAAACCGTCCAACATGCACTTCTCTTACGGACGACGTTTCGCCGGTTCGGACCTCACATCTTCCCCCAAATGCTCAATGCCTATATTAGGCCTCACGTAGTGAACGTTATTCAGACCAGGCAACCCCGGCTAAAACACGAATTCGTTGCACTGGAGAAACAACAGCGAAACGCAGCTGAAAATATGAAGCGACCGTTCCACCTGCCATATCAAATGCTACTGAAAACCTTAGGAGTGTACAGCGGAATTTATCGCCCTCTACGGGGCGACCTCATTCTGGCGTAGCAGATCTCGTAAAATCCAAGTCACGCTTGCCGCTACCTCCTGAAACTTAGTCGCAACACAAAACTGAGTGATCACCATATGAAACTGACTACCCAATACAGTCGGCTGGGATGCCGTTGGAATTATCTTTCTCTTCGAATTTGACAACCGTGAGACGCTCCTTCGACTTTTATCATTTCTATGCTCACGCTACCCCCTTGTAGCTTAAGACTCGACGATGCGTCACTTTATTTGAATTCCGTTCATCGAGCGACAACAAGATGCAGACAAACATTGTGCTCACCAACCTTCACGAAAGCGGGGTAAACGGACACACATGTGTGTTAACCTGGATCAAATGATGAGTGCATAGATACCCGTTTCAGTTTGCTGTCACATCGTTGTGAGTATCCGTAGTTCACAAAACTACCCCACCGGATCTGTTAAGCCATGGATGTTTCGCCTGTATTTTGCTCATATCATATTCTTTTCCTATCCGTGAGTCCAAACTCTAACGCGGACGTTTTATTTCCGCTTGAGGATAAATCTGAAGAGGGGAATGCATACAATTTTCTTGGAGAACGGCCATAGGTTGCACATTGGGAGATGCCGAAATGTTGCGGCGTGAACGTTGAGTCAACCTGAAATAGGAACATGGCTGTTAAGTCATTGCAGCACTCTCCTCAATGCCAACATCAGGCTGGACTTCATTCATGTGTTGGACATTATAGGAAGATGAACATCTTCTACAGGCAATTTTCCTTACGTCCCACTCGCAGGCAGCACCAGAGTGTCTTTGCTCAGCGGTTCCGGGTCGTCCACCGGTTCACACTCTAAGTCTCTGCGGTAGCTTAGCAGTACTTCGCCTCCCTCACTGGGGTGATCTTTTAGAACAAGGACATACTATATATTGCACATTCAGCGTTGGTAATATCTTAGTGCGACTAAGTAGCTATTTTGAAGATGGTGCTTGACGTAGTCCCAGTTCAGCCAGCTTGTACTGCAGGCACTGTGCGTTGACGTACATGCAGGAAAGTTTCACCGTCCTTAGTGATGAGTCGGCGGGTGTGTTTTGTGTGTAATGTTGCGCCGACCGATGAAAAGTTGGCCATTACTACGTTTTGGTGCGACGGTGAAAGACTCATTTGTATCGGGTCCATGGATCGCGCTATTATTCCTTTGCTCATCTCTATGTATGTAATGTCTGTGATGCGTTCACCAGTTTCGTCAATTAGCTGGATGTCGTTATCCGAACCGTTGTCAGGAAGTGGTTCGGTTAGATAGCTGCTCCGTAATATTTGTTAAGGGGACGCCACTTCGATCCGGACCCCGGAAGCTAGGCTGCTACGATCCACATACCAGCACTTCAATACCTTTGTTGACATGTCTGGATTGAATCGAAGTTTCACAATTCTCGGTCCACATCCTTTGTAACTTGGTGATCTGCGCAGCATCGAGATCGAGTATGTTACGATGTTTTCCAACGAGAGGGTCGGGCGAATGTAGCGCCACTGCTCGTGGTCATAGGTGGACGATTCGTGCCCATCATGTCCTCCAGCCTAGCGAACAGTATGTATAAGAATGGCTCGTGTTATTGATCCCTTCCGATATTCTTCCAAGTCTTGCTTGTCTTGTTTACGTTCTCTGCACGGAATATTCAGGAACATACGAATGGAAGATGACCAATTCAGAAGATTAGCTGCTGATAACAGAAGTGCTTCCGCTTTATCGTCCTAAGTCAATACATGTCGGAAAAGCCTCGGTTCACTGTAGTGCTCTGATTTCAGTTGACGAGTGACGCGTGTCAAATTAACGGGCTTAGGTACGACACCTAGAACGTCGCACATGAAGTCTCACTGGTTCACATCATCGTTACTTTCCTTCTAAAGCATTTGACTTCGATGCCGGAACTTTGATGCAGATTAGCGGTGGTACACTATGTGGTCTCTTAATGACTATTTATACAGCCTGGGTTGAGGTCGACCACCTCAATGGTTTGCATGCTTTCGGCGGAGGCTCTGTAAGTGCTAGTTTGCCTACTGCATTTATTTTGGGTCCAGTCGCAGTAAGCGGATGCTCAAGTTTCCTGATGCCTTTATCAGCAACCATATTTCAACCACTACACGTGTTGATGTCCTACTGAAATTTGGGAACAGTTTAAAGTGTGGACCAGGCCATGGTAGTCCTAGTGGTTCAAACTGGATGCAGCTTTCTTTAAAATCCGGAAGTCCGTATGGCTAGCTGTTCATCCATTTCTATTAACAACCTCGTCTCTCAGCACAGATGCCTCTGAACTGACCGGTTTAGGGCTAGATGCCTTATCCGAACGGAACCGGTCGCTAAGCTACCAACGCCATGGCATTCGACCAAATGTTTCAATTTGTTGTTTGCAGTAGAGGATTCATACAGTCAATTGTTCTCGACAAACACTTCCAATCACATATTGTTCGCATTTTTACGCTCACTTTATTGAAATATATTTACACATCGTTATGGAAACTCGAGTTAAAGGAACCGAGCTTACTGCGCTTCGGTAACCAGAGCAAAATGCAACGCAAGTATAGAAACATAAACATAAGCACTGCTTTAGTGGTTTTATCAGGATAAATACTACATTCATGAGCCTCACTCAAGAACTCATGTTGAATAGTAAGACTACCTAAAAGGCGTCTATTCCTGTTGCCCCACATTCAGGACAAGTTGAACGCAGTCGTGAGTCGCGTGGACCCGAAGCTGGTACACCCAATGGGGTAGGAAAAGTGTGTCCTTTCAACAGCTCCTGAGCGTCTTTAAGGGCATTCAGGACAGGGCGGTGGGAGAGCATGCCAAGTTGTGTGTAGCATGGAGACTCACAGACGATAATTAGTTTCGTGCACGTTACTGCTTCGAGGGTAGATGGAACAAATCACGGTGCTAAACGCCAAGATAGGAAGGCTGTGCTGAAAATCACACTTTCCTTGCTGAATGTTTCAAATGTATGTATTAGCTTTGTCGAAAAATGTAGCGTTTTAGAAGGCGGAGGTGAACATGGTTTAATTGAAGTCGTCGTGAATCCAAGTCACACAGCCTGGTGTTGTGCCAGATTAAAGCCAAACCTAGCGTTCCCGTGCTAGAGGCAACTAAGAGTTACCTTAGAAACAGAATCGTAATGTTACGTTTTTGTTTCTCGCGTATTAGAGTTTGCACTAAAGTCAGGCTTGGATGGCCAAATGATCAACTGATGACGCATAGACAAGCAGTCAAGAGCGGCGACAGAATCTTGTGAAGTACGTTTCCATAATGGTGATATGATGAGCGTAAGATGATCTATTCACAGACTGGTTTAAGGCAGAAATTATCCAGGCTGCCTAAGCCTTTCCAGCAGGGTGGTGTATGCAATGAGTCTGCTTATTTTTACTTGCTTGTGGTGCACGCTACATAGAATAGCATAGCTTGCAGCCACTCAAGTCTGTTTGTGTTGTTCTACTACGGTGGTTACTAGCCTTAAGAGTTGCACCTCATCGAACAGAGAACAATGAAAAATGATTTATCACGAGATAAAAGCAAGTGCTTGACATGTCTCGTAGGATGGTTGAGGTGAATATGATGAAATCAAAATATAGGTGGGTCATCTACCGAACGTTTGCCGAGATGAATACTTTGATAAATAACACTAGAGTAAAATTTAAAAAAGTCGAGCTTAAAGGTTCATAAATGCTGGGGAGCAGTGGCATGAGAAAAGGCATGAGAAAAGTAACATAAGGTCGCTCGCTTGGGTCCATTTGATATATAAATGCTGTAGAAAAGCATGCTTGGCGTACTCCACAATTGAGGAGTGTAGGTAACAAAGTCTTGGGAGCTAAGAGCAACATCTAATCGTCGTTTGGAAACGTTCAATGTATGGGATTATACCACTGAGTCTGTGCGTGCGTTCCAGGGTTGGCAAACGCGAAGGGAAAAGTAATTACGTTGACATTCTAGACGGCTATATTGTTCCTTCAATTTTAAGCAGTTACCCCTGAGCTGCTTGTTGTGGCTAAGTTGTATCAAATGGCGGCATACGTGGTCGGGGTCACTCAATATCTGATACGCTAATATGAGATCGCCGCGCAGTCTTCGATAGCGTCCGTTGGTAAGAGTGAAAGCGCAAACCCTTTACATTCTTTGTTGCTCTTCGTTGTGGTGCCTCTAACGCCTCTAGGTCGAGCTTCAACCAAGGTTGCAAAACTTGGATAGCGTATTTAACAGGCTGGCGTATGTAGGAATTGTGCATCATTGGGAAGATTGGTAGGTCAAATCTCCCGAATGCTCTTTGCAGCCTGCCGACGTACTGGTTGCCTCTTTTCGCAGTTACCTCAGCCTGTGATGAACAGTTGAGGTCGCTCTATACGAGCACACCAAGGTCACTTTCCTGGGAGCTGGTCTGTAATCCGCTTGTCCGAAACAAATATGTGTAGTTATGTCTATCGATTAATTGTACAACGCGACATTTTTCTACCTTGAATAATGGTAGGGCACTTTGAACTGACCAATTTGACATCGTGTTAAGAACGCACTGGAGCCGTTCGTGGTCGTCCGGTCCTCTGATCCTTCGGCATTTCTTGATATCATCAGAGAAAAATACGAAATCTGAAGTAATTGGTCTCGTCAAATCGTTAATGAACACCAAGAATAGACGAGATGCAAGTACTGAGGTTTATGGTACACCACACACCACATCGATTGCATCGGACAATCATTCGCGCACTCTCACCGCTAGCCGTCGTCCGTGTAGAAAATTGCTTATCCAACTCAGGATCTGGTCGCCAAAGCCGTAGTTCCGAAGCTTCTGAGGAAGAATTCGGTGATCTAAGCGACCACGCTTTTGAAAGTCCAGGTAGATGACATCGACTCCTGCTCAAGCATCAACATCTTCGGTCCAGCTATTACGTGCAATTAATAGGTTAGTATTACACGAATGCTTTTGACAAAAGTCATGTTGCTCTGGGGCTATTAAGTTGTGGCTTTTCAGATACTACATCAGCGCATCTGCGATGATTGATTCCATCACTTTGGATAGTACAGGAAGTAGTGTTATTGGACGGTAGTTGGTGGGGTCAGTGCGGCTACCCCCTTTGTGGATAGGAGTGATACCCCTGGATTCCATACTGGTGGAATCTGGTTCATTTCTAGACGTCGCTGATAGAAAACAGCCAGTGGTTCTGCTAGATCACTAGCTACCGCCTGCAGAGACGTTGGTCGGATATTATCGACTCAAGGAGAACTGTGGATACGCAACGAGAACAACTACTTCAACACAGCTTCCGCAGTGAAGATGGAACAATGGAACAATGGTTTATTACGGGTAAAAAGCACTGCTTAACAAGCCCGTGGGACGGAAATTATTGCGAAAATGAATTGCATGATAAAGTGAAAAGCCTTGTGGTGGACTCACCATAGACTTATGTAGAATAGCGGAGATTTTCGCGGATTAAACCTATAAATCCATAAATGGGAGTTTGGCAAGACACCGTTTGATTGCGTTTTGTAGCCCTTGGCTAAAAAGTCATAAAATGAAATGTAAATGAGACAGTGCATCTTCAACACGTTTTTTAAATAACGCCAGATTGGGAGCAGAGACGACATAATTAGGGAGGGCGTTCCAAAGCTGGCACACGTGGAGGGAAAAGAAATTTCTACGGCATTCAAGCCGGCTATACTGAATGGTCAGTTTCAGAGGGTGACCTCTTAGGCTAGTGATCTGGGTTCTTCAAAATTGGGTAAACCATTATGAGTTCCACCGCAAAAGTTGATATCGACTGCTGTACATTCTTAGAGATTTCAGTCTAAGCTGATTGGGCAGATGAAAGAGGCCTCTGACGTCTTTGGTTGCTCTTCCTTGAGGAGTCTCGAAAGCAACGAGATCCTGTTTTTGCCACGGCTGCCACGCCTGGATAGCATATTTCACTTGCGGTCGCACGTAGACGTTAAGCAGTTAGGGAAAGATTGAGCGCGCAAACCGACTGAAGGCTCGGCGAAGAAGGCCGAATTGTTTATTGCCGGTTCTAGTCGCCTTCTGTGCTTGTTTTGAACACCTGAGATCTTCCTGTACCAATACACCCAGATCAAGCTCCTGAGAGTCCTTCTCCAGGGTGTGGTCTCCAAGCTTGTAAGCGCTGACCACTGGTGATGCAGATGGATTTCCTTGCAATTAGCTGTGTTCAACTGACGCAAGTTCATTTTTGACCATTCATAAAGGCAATCTAGGTCATGTTGGAGTAATTCGTGATCTACTTTGTTAGTAATCGCCCGCTATATATCTTAACATTCTCGGCGAATTGTATGAAACCGGAGAAGATAACCCCTGCCAAGTCGTTGATAAATACCAGGGATAAGCGCGGTCTTGGCACCGATCCTTGTAGGACACCACATTCCACCTCAAATGGGTTAGAGAGTGATCCCCTAACACGTACTAGAAGTTTCCGTTGGTGAAAGAATCTGCCAATTCAACCAAGTACAGGATCTCCGATTCCGTAGCTCTGTAGCCGTTGAAGGAGGATACAGGAAGTAGGATAGACTCATTTTGCGATCTTTGAGTAAATCCTATGTTTCCGTTTCACTCGGTCGTTTTCAATGGGAGTCAGAAATAAGAAAAACGCATATAATTGGGATGAAAGCGCATCTGACGTTCCGTTCACGACGAGATCTCCAACTACACGACGTTGCAGCAGCAACACGTTTTACTTTCATAAAGGTTTATAGTGGCTGTAAGTATCACTGAACAGGATGCTAGCTATAACAGCAATCACGGAAACATAATGCAATACTAGACGGAAATGATACTGGCAGTTGGACCGGTAGCTTCGCGGATGGTGCTGCCTCTATTACAGGAGAAACCTCGCAAATTTGAGAATTATATTAGTATTATTATAATGGTATAGGTAGAAATTCGTCACATCTAGACTCACTCAGACAGCCGCCACACGCCCGGAAAAGCACTGTACGCGCGTTTCATCCTTTCGGGAATCATCAGCAGTGCGCATTCCATCGGACCCCTGGTAGGGCTCGAACCCGCAACTCGACTGTTGCCAGTCCGTGGTTGAAACCACTGTGCTATGAGGGACGGCAACGACCATCGTGAATAAGTTACTAAGTTATTATAATTATTGTTATCGGACCACAGAAATCGACGTTTGTTCAGCTCAACACAGGTGGAAAAGGCATCAAGAAGAGGTAGTCAGCTCCTTGGTTTACTGTGAGAAGCTTCGGAAAATGTAAGCCATCCATCTGTCCGGAAATATTGTACTCCTACATGAAGTCCCACCCGTAATACGTGGTCCAAGCCCAGTGCTCTTGATGCAGACACGATGTTGATGCACTTGAAGCTCCCAACTCAAGGCGACCAAACTCGGTAGGTGATTGTTTCAACTTCCTTATGAACGCAGACTGTAAGCCCCAGCGTGGAATATCAGCGTCAGGGAGGAAACATCTTCGTTTACTTACTAATGACAAACCCAGCTCATGCTCGTCGCGATTTGTTGAAAGGCGGACAAACTACTAGACTGAAATGTCCCCAGCTCAAAATTGCTGAGCACTATAGTCGACTTGATTGCAGACAAAACGTATCTCCCTTCGGGTGTACGAAAGATGGAGTGCTGTTCCAACACATGTCATCTTTGCCTTTTCATTAGCACATCTCAAAAAACGTTTTGATAACACGCTTGTCCAGCCGCATTACTTGATATAGTTCATTTCAGTTGGAAGGGGAAATAATGCGAACCAAACAGGGTGCTCACTGGCC